AGACTAACTGATTACACTGCATATCTGATTCTGGGAAATTATACGCTCTATGTGGAGCATAACTGCACCCCTGCTTTACATGCGCTGCTTGTCTATGTCCTGCACTCCAATGTAAGTATAACCAGCGTTTTACTCTCTCTTGCACTAGGTTTTGCATTCTCTTGATACGCAGTTTTGTACTTTAAACGAAGATATGCACACTAGGGTGGCCCTTATTACTTCGAAAAGAGCTCGGATTATCAGTCTCACCCTCTAGAAATGTGTGAATAGCCTAAAGACTAAACTATACAAAGACTATACAAAGTTTTAGATCGATCAAAAAAGATTTAGAGGTGGCTCAAAGTGCTCAAAGTTTCCCATGTTCCTGTTTCTCTGCAGGAGGTTATTGTTTTTGGGAGTCTCCTGAAGAAGAAGAGAAAAAGGGTTTGGCGATTGAAAAATATTGATTTTCAAGGATTCTATACCATTCCTACGAAATTTTTTTTTTTTTTTATTTGCCATATCAAATACATGGGAAACTTTGAGCGCTTCGAGCCATCTCTAAATCTTTTTTGGTTGATCTAGAACTTTGTATAGTTTAGTCTTTAGGCTATTCACACATTTCTAGGGGGTGAGACCGAGAATCCAAACACTTTTATTTTTCTCCATATAACTAAGGGCCATACTAATGCACACATTGGAGGACATCATTTAAAGCTAAAATACTGAGCTTAAAGTAGGAACGCATTTTATTATTTATTAATTTTTTATCGAATGTATGTATATGTATGTGTGTGTGTGTATACTACGAACTTTATTCGACGACAGTTAAACCAAAGCTCAGAATAAAATCATGCCAAGAACCTAATGTTAGCGTTGATTTCTGATATCTACAAAATGCAAAACCATATGCAAGTATGTATATGTATGGAAAAATATTTGAAAATTGGTTGTCGTTCGTATGGCAAACATGGTTCTACGATACACTCAACCAGACGCCAACGCTACCGTTACATCAGCATTCCTCCTATTGGCGTTCAAGTGGAGTGGAGAAGATCTCGATCGAAGAGCGAAGCAAACGTGTCAGTAGACTTGGTAGAGAAGCTAGTAAAAGGATTTCAAAGATGGCACAAAGTACCTACGCACTCACACAAACATGCGCTCAAGGATACATACAAATGTACCCAGATATAGATTCAAGCACGAAAAAACAACATACAGCAAAAAAACGAGGTAAAGTATGTAAAAATTCAATTCAAATCAAAATGTCTGCTATCCACATATGTATGTATGTATGTATTTATGTAGATACGTTTGAGCATTGCAGAATGAAGAAAAAAAATGGAAATTTTGCGCGGTATGCGACTGAAAATGATGTAAAGCACTGTTGCCGCCGCAGTTGTACAAGTAGGAGGATGGCGGAATAAGCAACATAAAGGATTACATGACGTATGATTGTATGTACAATGCATACATAGTTTTGTATTCAACTGCGCGTACGAATTTTACACACACACGCACACATCCTTAAGCCAACAAAGCACATACCCACATGCGACACGCGCTAACGAATATTTGGAAACATTTCCACAGCGATGGCTGCATTCATACATATGTGGACTCGTACAAATATCTGCATATCCTTATGTACATACATATGTACATATATTCATACATATATCTGCACAAGCATAGAAAATAATCCCAGCAGTAAAATTTAGAGACAGTCTGACAAAGCGCTAGTTCCGAACTACATACATATCTCAGAACTATCTCGGAACTAGTGCAAAAGGAATGCAGAGCGGGACAGTTGAAACTTGCAGTGTAAATGTGCAAATGCTCACTACTCGTACAATACGAAAGTAGCTCAGCGAGAAGACCTCCGACTCGACCAGCGTTGGTCGCGAGCTCAAATCGCGGTAGAGGCAGTTGTGCATTTTCAACTTTAAAGAACTTAAATTGTTGCGTAATTTTTGTTTTTTTTTTATAAAATATGTAACAAACATGGAATCTGTAAAGGATAAGAAAAAACGAAAAAAATATTCAAAAATCGAATCTTAAAAACGTTTTCTTATAAAACAAAAAACTGTCCAAAACGGAACCGGTTAAAAACTGGTTGTAAACTAATGCACTGGGCGACAATTGCCACCGCCAATGACATCGCCGTATAAAACTGGACAGTTGAAACCATTGCTTGGCTAGAACTAGTAATGTCGCAAAAAGGTCTAGTTCTACGCTAGTTCTGAGCAAGTCAGATTTTCTGCAGGGTTTGCACATGTACGTATGTATAAGTGCGTGGGTGTATGTATGTTTCGTTTGAATTCAATCGCATACCTAGTAGCGCTCAGTCAAGGATAATAGTCGCTCATCCCTGCTGACGCTCAGTGTATGGGCTCCTCAACCCACCCTCGCGAGAGAAATGTTTCACACACACTCACACAGAAGCATGTCATGTAAACCATAGTTGTTTGTATTTCTACATTGTACAGTGTAGAATCTACACCAAACATCAAATATGTACACTCGACATACATATGTATAAAAAAATCTAGAAGTTGAAAGGATTTTGTACGCATTTGTTGGAAAAATGGAATAGTAAAGTAAGGAGCATGCGTTCATTAGTCTGCCCATACGCCTAGCGCCACAGAGCTTTCCGCAGATACATACATATTTGTAGGAGTTTTAGACCTCTTGAGCCAAAATTATTATGCAAATAAATAAATAAGTACACACTTTTATGTGTTGTAGGAAAGGATATGATGCGATTCAATTTGACCTCTATAGGGCTAAGAGCCTTTACTTGATAATGTTCCTGATCATTCAAGTTTGTTAACACCAAAATCTTACCACTGGTTATGCTTATTTTGTGACTTTTACTCGTAGATTTTCTTTTTAAACAAAATTTGTATAGACATGAGCAAAGTTTATTGAAAACCCAAGAAACAGATATGTAGGTAAATATTAGGGATGTTAATTTTTCAGCTTATTCAATCGTTATCACAATACCGGAATCACGGGGTTAGTCCCGAGATTTAGATATTCATTACTTTTCAACAACTTAAATCGAAAAAATTGCTTCTATATTGTTAAGAGAAGCTCTCATACCATAAAATAAATAATAAATAAATGGATTCGATAGGTACTTTTTTATTTAAAAATACGTTTTTATTTTTTCTCTACGACGTCAGGATTTATTTTAGAGGACTTTTTAATTACATAGATTGGATTAATTCCAAAAATTATTTAAAAAATGCAATGCAATGTAGAATAAAAATATGGGTACCAAATGCAAGAGCGAATTTCTTTAGAAATAAAAAAGATAAAATTTTTTGTATTTACAGGGACGAACAGGTAATATTTTGAGCTGATAAATTTAGAAGGATATTAAAAACTTACCAGTCTTTCTGCACCAAAAACATGAATATCTCTAAATTCTATAGAATTTCCTCTTTAATTTGGTATCCATACTTCTCCTCTAAGCACATTTGTCTGTATTTTTTAAATAAATTTTGAATTACTGAATTCAGAGTGAAAAACTGAAAGCGCAATTTTACTATATTTGTCCCATGGTTTCGCGAATATATTGATATTTGTGTTTAAAATTTACTATCGCGCAGTGTTATATGTACATATAATGAGCTAGACATTTATAAAATAATATTAATTATTAAATAAAAAAATGAAATATAGCCCATACTGGTCAATCAAATGAGTTTCTATTATTGCCTTCAGTGCAAATTACAAATCCTGAAAATCCCGGTATTTTTTGCCAATAATATCGGGATTTTTGGGACCTTAAAAAGGCCGGGCTCCCGGGATTAACATTCCTAGTACATATCAAGCGTCCCTTCGCTCCACTTATTATATTTATAGTCGTTTATCGTTCGAGATTTCAAATCTCTGACATTGCAACCTCCCTAGGAGCGGTTATACATAGTATATACATATGTAGGTATGTATGTATATTAGACTGCATCACTCCCCATACGAAAAAGAATCGGTAATGTTTTTCTATTGGAATTATAAAATCGATTATATTTTAAGACGTCCACCAAAATATTCGGAAAAATATTAAGATTTTACCGAGCTGGACCGATTTGAAAATACCTCCAAAAAATGAGTTTTTTATGAATAAATATTGTTTCTTAAAGATTTTTTTTTTGAAAAAATCCCCTCAAATGACAAAACTGTTTAGCTTCTAAAATTTGCATAAAAAACAATTTTGAATTGAATGAGATTTTTAATGCGGTTTTTTAACTTTTTTCAAAGATTGGTATAAGAAAAACTTAAATAACAGAATCTAAACTCTTACGAACCTTTCTACCGAGATCCCATAAGTCTAAATAAGAATAGTTCTGGCCCAGTTATTTAAGTTTTTCGTAAATCAATCTTTGAAAAAAGTAAAAAAACTGCATCAAAAATCCCATTGTTAAGATTCCGTTGAAAAGTTTTTTAAATATTTTTATGCAGATTTTTTAAGCCTAATCTGCTTTGTCAGCTGAGGGGACTTTTTTTTAAGTTCTTTAATAAACCATTTTTATTCATAAAAAACTCCACTTTTGGAGGTATTTTCAAATCGGTCCAGCTCGCATAAATCTTAATATTTTTCCGAAATGGAAAAACGCAACTTTTTTTGGTGATGCAGTCTAATGTATATACATATACCCTACAAAGCAAAGTCCCCCAAATCTTTAAGATTATTGGAAGTTTTTCCGAATTCTGTAACAATTTATTTACCAATTTTCAAAGACAATCATAGGAAATGGTTGATACTAACTCCTTAATAAATTTCTGTACGATTTCTTAAAGGTAGTTCTAAAAAAAGTTCCCAAAAATTTTAAGAATTTTCATTACTTCACACATTTTTTTCCGTAATTTCGTAAAACAACACAGGTTTACAAAAAAAAACTGTATGCATATTAAACCAAACCTACATATCACCATGTTATTCGACACGCTGAATGCGAATCCGAGGTCCGTTAGCCTCTATAACGTCAGGTTCGTGGTCAGTTGAAGGTCAAGTACCTGAAAATTCAATAAAATTGTTCTGAAATTGACCTTGGGATGACCTTGGCATAACTTCTAGATGACCTTAAGGAATCAAGGGACCCCCATATTTGGATTTAGCGACAACAAAAACAAAAAAATAAAATTAATTTTTATTGAATAAATTTTTTTTCCTAATTGACCCTCAAATGACCTCGAACCTGACATTATGGAGGTTAACAGATCTCGGATTCGGCTTCAGCGAGTCTAAAATCCCACATATATGAAATTTTCAGGTTTATTCAATGAATATTTCCCTACTTGACCTTATCAAACAAATGTTAGAATATTAAAAATGGGACCTCAATTAATAGATGTCTAGATTTTTATGGTATTTTTCAAAAGTAAAAAAAAAACTAATAGCTAGCTGTTTAAAAATAAGATTTTATTTACTGAAAGTGTTTGATGGGGTTAAAGAAGAAGTTACATACAACTTTACATCCGCTCTTTTTTCGCAACAATGCAACCTTGTTAGCGAAGTTTTAATTCATTAATTAGGGTATTGCAGTTTATACGCACTCTGGCACTTCTGAACGCAACTCGCAGTTACATATAGGTTTATTGATCTGTATTTATATATGTATGTATGTATGTATAAAGGCCCATACAATCAATTGACATCGGTTGAAAAACATGATTTGCAAATAACGCACTTAAATTTGCATAAAATTTGCAAGCGTTGTCAGAAAATGCTGCTAACAATAGAAACAACAACATAAGCTAACAACTTTGAAACGAACAACGAAATGTTACAACTCAAAAATGCCAATCGAGCTGCCAAAAATTATGCAAATTAATAGGCGAAATTTTAAATATCCGCGATCGCTGACGCAGCTGTGCTATACTACCACTCAACTGACAGTTACAGCAAACACACAAACAGGAAAAAAAGTTTTAATAAAATCACAGGTAAGCAGCGTTAAGTGAAACTGAAAGGATTTTTGCCCGACAGCTAAAAAAAATTATATTTGCATAAATACAATGCAGTTTGCGAGCGTTTTTGGGATATGCAAATGAGACAGCCGAACTGAATCGAAAAGAGGTAATTGCCGCACAAAATGCCACTGAATGTGCCAGCCAACGCACCGCTGGCGACTCATTAACATAACATTAAACATCGACAGAGAAAAGCGGGACAACAGAACAACTACAACGACGATATTTTCGAATATGGTTTTTTTTTTATCAAACAAATACCACTTCGTCTCATTCCGACATCCTTGCAGTCATTCGGTGAGGTGCGAGTATAAGTACCTATCAGAATGTGCGGCAACGTAGCGCATCTGCCACGACCACTCGCGTACGCGCCGCATCCGTATATGCGTCCCCAGCCTCATCATCGACGTTGCTGAGCCAGCTGAACCAGCTGAGCCAGCCGAGCCAGCCAACAGTTCAACGAACGCAATGCGCTGTGTCACTAACCTAAATTAAAATTATGTTAATGAATGAGAAATATAAAAACACAGTGCCAGTATCCCTGCAGGCCCCTCACCGATGCAGCAGAAGCAAGAGCAGCCCGTAAATCAGGGCCAAGGACGACTCGAATGGGAATGCCGCGCTGCGTCGTTGTGCGAAATGGGGAAAGCGACTGACTGGCAACCTTTGGGCATAATGAAGTTAGCGAGGCTGCGCTGCCACATCGCTCATCAGCGTAATTTTAATTTACTTTTTTGTTGTTGTTGTTGTGGTTGTTGATGCTTTAGAGCGCAAAAATTTCATCTCTTCCTTTCATCGCTTTGTTTGTTTCTATGCGCTTTCGCGGAACATTGACTGGGCGACCGGCATTTTTGTCTTCTACTTCCTGCCTGTTTCATTTCCATTCAATTCCTATGGTGGTAATTATTACTCAGTTTTTGTCGATTAATTTCGATTGGCCTTGCGAGCGGTGACGTCACAAGGACACTGTGCCCGTTCAGCGTCGTCGACGTGTTGTACATACAATTAAAATTCTAATTTATGCAAATTATCAAAGGCGCCGCCGGTACTGTGTTTGGGTATTTCCATGCGACGAGTATAATTACAAAGAATTTGTGAGCGTATTTCGCGATTAAAGCTTTAATCGAAAAGACGTGGCGGAAGCGAGCGATTTATTTTGTAATATTTCGGTTAGTTTAGATAAACGTAGTGCAAGTGGGAATTTTTTATACAAGATATACAACTTTTAACTTTGGTTACTATTAGTTGAAGAAATATACCTACACATATAACTTGAAATCGAATATTAAGTTTCCAATAAAAAGGCGTGAAAAGTGTATTTGCTGAGAGATTGTATATGTGTATATTAGACAGCATCGCTTCCCATACAAAGAAAAATCGGTACTATTTTTCCATTAGAATTATAAAATCTATTATATTTTAAGACGTCCACCAAAATATTTCCGAAAAATATTAAGATTTAAGTGAGCTGGACCGATTTGAAAATAATACTTCCAAAAATGGAGTTTTTCATGAATAAAAATAGCTTCTTTTTTTTTAAAATCCTCTCAAATGACAAAACGGTTTAAGCTTAAAAAATATTGCATGAAAATATTTGTAAAAAATTAAAAAAAAACTTAAACGGAATCGTAATGATGAGATTTTTGATGCTGTTTTTTAACTTTTTTCAAAGATTGGTATAAGAAAAACTTGAATAACTGAACCTAAGCTCTTCCGATTTAGACTTAAGAGGTACCATTGGAAAGGTATTTTCTCTCTCTTTTTATTTCTTTGATAACAAACTCATTAAAAGGATGAAATAGAGAGGTAGGGTGAACGAACGTAATTCAAAGTTGGATTAAGATGTGTTGGTATTTGAAAAAAAAAAATAAAAAATGGGATACGAATGACTTTTTTTTGGACAGAAATAAAAACAGTGTGAAAATATCTCTCTATCGGGATCCCATAAGTCTAAATAAGAATAGTTTTGGCCCAGTTGTTCAAGTTTTTTGTAAATCAATCTTTGAAAAAAGTAAAAAAAACTGCATCAAAAATCCCATATTAAGATTCCGTTGAAAAGTTTTTTAAATATTTTTATGCAGATTTTTTAAGCCTATCTGCTTTGTCAGCTGAGGGGATTTTTTTCAAAAAGTTCTTTAAGAAACTATTTTTATTTATAAAAAACTGCATTTTTAGGGGTATTTTCAAATCGGTCCAGCTCACTTAAATCTTAATATTTTTCCGAAATACTTTGGCGAACGTCTTAAAATATTATACATTTTGTAATCCCGGCGGAAAACCGGAAACGGTGATGCACTCTAATGTACATATTTGTTTTCTAGAAGACGCAAAATATAAAACAAAGTTTCATACAAAAAACTATATGCCATTTTCACTTACATACATAAATACATAAATGATGTTAAGATTTGTTTACGGTAAAGTGCGAAAGAAAAAAAAAAGGGTATTTACGAGTGGTATACATATTAGCAATATGCAACTAAATCTTTAATAACACGGTTCAACAAAATTTAGTCACACTTCATCTCAAAAACAGGACGACTTCATATTATAGATTTTTTGATGCTGATTCGAAGAGCATTTACAAAGTTTTATAACACGTCCAGTTTTTTGAGAAAAAACTGTTAAAGCGTCGAAAAATTACAAAAATGCCAAATTTCAAATTTTTGGTTTAAAGAATTTCGACGTAGTTTTTCCGAAGAAAAAAACCCAGGTATTAATGACAATCCAATTCGTCTGATGGATTCTACCTTATGTCGATGAGTGGATTAGAAATGAGTGAAAAATAAAAAAACTCAGTTCTTCTATAGCTTGCACTGATTTCCTGTCATATCACTTCTCTATAGTGGCTATGTCCTGGTGGAATCGTTTTCCATATTCTTCGCTAGTGTTTTTTTATAAGTTTTTTTTCCAAATTTTTCACCGCTCAATTAATCAATTAATCGACATGAGGTAGAATCTATCATACGAATTGGCAGTACATAAACAGTTTTTGAGAAAAAAGTAATAATAAAATAAAACAAAAAAATTTTAATAAAAGTTGTTGCAGAAATTTTGTCATTTGTTTTTTTAGTAATACAAATACCACAAAAATTTCACAAAATTTTTAAGTGATTTAGTAGAGGTAGTAGATCTGATCGATTAGTTCACAAAAATGTGTTTGAAAATTTCCCTACACCCTCAAATTCTTAACTTATTCGTAAAAGCCCTATTCGGCCCGACACAAAACAATCTCTAGCTCCTTTAATTTTTCAGTTTCCTTGTTTTGCTCGTTCTTTGCAGGAAATTACTTAAATGTAAATGCTTTTTTGTAAAATTGTAGAAAAAAATCTACCAAAGTTGAATGTAAAAAAATTTTGCAACTTTCGTACAGATAGCAAATTTTTTACACATATTCTAACCTATTTTTGCAAAAGCCTTTACTGATTAAAAAATTACAACATTCTTCTTTACAAAGATATATTAAAAATCAAAGTTGCTAAAAAAAAATTAAAGGAGCTAAAGATTGGTTTGCAGGTGAAGGACGTGCCATATTCGTTTTTCCAGAAACAGTTTTGTGAACTACGACTTCTACTAGGTCACTTAAAAAGTTCATTTACACTGTAACACCTTGTAACTTTACCTTCGACATCACATAATTTCAAATTTCATTATTTCTCCGAATTTGTATTGCAGTATTTGAGTGGAAAACATTGTAAGCGATGGTACGGTGTGCAGTGTTGCCAGAGAAATATTTCGTTTGAATTGAGTAATTTTTTCGCAAAATTTTTCTGGAAAGTTTTACTTCCAGCTCTCCTTAAAGGTAAAATTAATAAGGCAAAACAAAATCCGCGCTATCAGAAAAAGGATTTTCTTTCAATTCATTTTTGAATTCTTTAACCTAGATCCAAGTTTTTATGGTGGATGCACTGCATCTCGAAATTTTCCATTTTATCAACACTTAAGTTTTGCCTTATGTATACCAAATACAACTAAACACTAGTAGTGTTAACTACAGCTCATAAATTTGAAAAGAGCTAAAAAAAACTAGGAGCTAAAACCCGATTTTCGGAGCTAATTAGAAAAATAAAGAGCTAAATCTAGCTCCAAAAGCACCAAAATGGCAACACTGACGGTGTGAACTGTCCTCGCTGTTCAAACGGTTAGCGCTCGCTTTGTAACCGCCGCACAGTGTGCTTTTTGAACACTCCATGCTAATTAATCGTAGCGCTTTCGACAGAAGCAACTTTTTGATATGAAACAAAATGGATTTGAAAGCTAATGGAATTCCCTTTCAGGGAAAAATATAGGCATTGAGCCACATTACTCCTAGACTTTAAAAAAAAATTGGTCAAAAATAGTGTTCTTTAAAAAAGATACGTACAAATTCCACCGCATTTGTTCCAAAAAAAGTTTTTTTGTAAATTTTATTATACTAGAGTCATTCCATTGAAAAGACGAAAACGACATAAATTTGAGTATGCCCTAATTATCTCTATTTCAGTAGTAACCTCTTTTTAAATGACTACATTTCATTTACCTGTGGCAAAATATTAACAAAATTAAAAGAAGTTGCAATTTTTGTCTTTATTACACCAGTCACAAGGAGATGTCCCACCAGTCACAACTTTAAATATTTTTTATTTTTTATGAAGGTTATATAAACGTCGTTTTTATTGAAAACAACAAACATCGTTCGCGAAGATTAAGTATAGTAGACATTGTTTTCGTTCTCTGAGAGCCAGGTTATAACAATTTTAAACCAAACTTTGAGTCTGCTATACGAGTTTTTACTCTGAGATTAGAAGAAAAATTTGCAAAAATGTCGAATGAAATTTCGAAACTTAACTTCAGAATCGTTATAATTTGGCTCTAAAAGGGCCTTAGCTCAAATTAAAAGTCTTGAATAGGACTACACCGTGCTTGTTGTTTGAGTGATATAAAATTCTGTGAAAGATGATTCTCTGCATGCAAATCATAAGAAATGCAATATGTAATGCATTTTTCAAATTGAGGCATTCAATATTTTTTTTCCTTTTCTAAATACTCGAATCGTGTTTCTCGTCTCAAAATCTATTTTATTAGTGGGCCATACCTTTTGACATTTTACTCCAGAATGTGATCAATTATGAATTTTAACTATGTCGTCGGAACTTGTACAACATACGAAAGATATTTTTTAACATAGAACGAAAATTAATGTATAAAATTGCTTTAACAAAAATACCAAATGATTTCTTAGTTTTATGTAACTATCATTTGAATGAATGTGACTAGAATGAACTCTATTTTACCCTTGTGCAATCAAAGATGAGTTTTTGCAAAACCACTTAATCTTCACGAACGATGTTTGTTGTTTTCAATAAAAACGACGTTTATATAACCTTCATAGAAATTTTAAAAAATATTTAAATTTGTGACTGGTGGGACATCTCCTTGTGACTGATGTAAAGTAATTATGCATGAAATAAAAGTTTCCATACACAAAAATTACAATTTCTTTTCATTTTTTTAATATGTTGCCACAGGTTAATGTAACGTAGTCATTTAAAAAGAGGTTACTACTGAAATAAAGATAACTAGGGCATATTCAAATTTATGTCGTTTTCCTCTTTTCAATGGAATGACCCTAGTATGTATAATAAAATTTACAAAAAAACTTTTTTTTGGAACAAATGCGGTGGATATTGCATGTTTTTTCGAAGAACAATATTTTGCCAAACTTTTTTTAAAATTAAACAATAATTTTGGCTCAATGATAATATTTTTCCGTGAAAGGGAATAACATTAGCTTTCACAATCCTTTTGTTTTATATCAAAATGTTGCTTCTGTCGAATCAAAATCACACTGTGCGCTGCCGCAACCGCACGGCATAATTTTCTAGATTTTGTAGAACGGCAATCGGGCAAATCGCCTTTTACAAAAATTGGTTTTCACTAACTTAATCGGCTCGAAAAATAATCTTTTATTTCACTATCCGAACCTCTCCGGCGGCCTCTGCGCTATTCTAGCTACTGCACAAAGAAGCAGCAAGCTTGTCTATAATTATTTCCACTGTAGACGTAAGTTCACTAATAAAGTCGATAAACTGATAAATAATGGAAAATCTAATTTACCACAGAAATCAAATAAAATTAAATTTTTCATAAAATACCCGAACAAATATGACATATTTTAGCCAACATGTATAAGCAATGACACTGATCACACCCAAAAAAAAAACTTCTCTTAATTGAAGAAAAACAGCAATCGAAATGAAGAATAATGAGAACGAAACAGCACTAAAGAAGTTGTATCCTCTTTTCATGTCCAACATTTCTTCAAAATGATAGATTACATCCACGGTTCCATATTTTCGTGTACGATTTTACACATTCCAAAGAAAAATTACGCATTCGGGGGAATTTTTACTCATTCGGAAGAATATTCGACCTTAAAGTAAGGAAAGTTTTTCTTTGATCCAGAGATGGATTTTTGGTTCAGTGCAAAGAAAATATGCCTTCAGTGTTCACAAAATGCTAATGGGAAAAATTTCAAATAGGATTAGGGCATGTTCAGAACATTTTCGAAGATTTTAATTAAAATTAGTTTTGACGTTAGACTATGCATTCAAAAAGTGTTCATCGACAATAATTTTCATAGAACTAAAGGGTTTAGTTAAATTTCGCCAAATTATTATTAGTAGAAACCTTTAAAAAGAGTTTATGTCTTCTAAATTAAGTCAAAAATTAAACTTGACCTTTATGTCTTCATTAACAACAAAACAAATTTTACTGATTTTTTAGTTTGCGAAATTTTTACGAAGATTATTTAGAGATAATCATAACTTTTGTATTTTAAGACAAAAACAACAACAAACAACTACCTAAATGGTTCTTTATTAACTCAAATATTATGAGCCCAATTTGTATAGTTTTTCATATAGTTTTGCACTGATCGTTAGGATCCATCTATTCTACTACACGGTCTTATAAAAGACTAAACTTTTGTTTTTAGCTTTTAATAAAAATACTTTCGAATACTTAAGTTTCATTTCTTTCTTATGCCATTTTCCAATTACTATTTTCTTTGGCAATACAAAAAAAAAAGAAACTTCCACTCGAACTTTAAAGCTGATTATGTTATGACCCTTGTCGGCCGCTGTGGTGTAGTGGTAAGCAGTGCGCGCTTCCACTCCGCAACGCCTGGGTCAAAGCACCATCGCAAAAAATATAGAAAAAAGGTTTTTTCTTGATAGCGGTCGTCCCTCGGCAGGCAATGGCAAACCTCCGAGTGTATTTCCGCCATGAAAAACAGCTTCTCGTAAAAATACAATCGCCATTTGGAGTCAGCGTAAAACTGTACGTCCCTCCGCTCTGTGTGGCAACATCAAGGCGCACAGCACAAATCGGAGGAGAAGCTTGGCCAAACACTAACATAAGTGTAAGCGCCAATCTATTATTATTATTATGTTATGACGCTTGGAGTTGTGAATGCCATAATTTAGTTTTTGATTCGATTTTAACTGAAAATTCAAGGAAGCAATATTCGCTTATACATATCGCACCCTAATCAAAAACCGTCACATCAAAATCCGTCAAAAAATATTGGATACAGAAGAATGACAGATGTGTCCAGTTAGGAAGGGCGTAATATTCGGTAACGATAACTTCCGGTAACAGTCTTCGGAAGTTGCTATGAATGCGAACTTCTAAATAGCAAATTTCAAAAAAGTTTTTTGAAATTTGTAATAAGCGAACTTAAGCACCTCAAAATACCAAATTTCATAATTTGTTTAATTCTTGGATGCCATTTTGATTGGTTATTTTCGGTTTTTGAAAATTGACTTTAGGCTTGCCAAGACACATATTATAAATAATATGATGCTAAATATAGAAAAACTACATTAATCCGTAGTGTTTTATATACTTTATGTTATTTGGAACAACTGCTAAAGTTAGACTAGTGTAGTAAAAGTGGCCGCCACTCTGTTTGGCGCGAGTATGCGCGGCTTTTCTTTTCGTAGATCCTTAACGGGCCCCTTGCATTACTTTTTGGTAAAGGAATGAAGACCCTACTCTGCTCTACTCATTAGTTATACCATTTTGAAGAAAATATTTCTTGAAAAATAAGCGGCGTTTTTAATAAAAATGGCAGCCACTCTTTTTGGAGCGAGTATTCGCGGCTATTCTCTTCATACATCCTTAAAGGACTACTTGCATTACTTTCGGCCCTACAAATTAGTTATACCTTTTTGAAAAAAAATATTTCTTGAACAATAATCCGTGTTATTAAGATATTCATAATTTGACAACAAAATTTTATTATGTAATATTTCATATGAAATCATCATTCTCCATCTTTAAGAAGTAACACTAAACCAGCAATAACTGTTATAATTTAAAGTTTCCATAAAAAAATTGTTAAGAAAGCTATCAACTCATAACTGTTAGAACAAGCCACGATCGATTTCGTTGAATTAAATGGATTCAACGGCTTCCTCAGCACATATTATTAAAAATAGTAACCAGCTTTGAGTTCGCTGGACATTTCTGAATAAGAATGGCTTTACTCCAGTTAATTTATCACAGTTTAAAAGTAGGCCTTTTTCGCGTAAAGCTTGCCTTATCCGACTACTGTGGGGCGTTAGATATATGAGTAGTCCAGTTGCAAACGGCGTTATGGGATCTTATAATAGTAAGCCATAATTAAAAAAACGACTAGTACAACAAACAAATAACATCTAAATTGAATCTTTTTTTACTATTTGAAAATTTGGATAAATAAGAAAGAGCCTAATAAAATTATAACATAACATAACATTAACAGTCTGTACAACCTAAAGCAGTTTTCAAAGTTCATCAGAAGATGGAGACTTTTCAAAGTTTATACAAGTTTATTACAAGAGAAGTTAACATTTGATGCTATTTTTTCAGAATATACAAAGATTTTGCACTGTGTTGTTAGTGGATATGGAACTACTTTAAATACTGGTACGTAACCCACCAAAAACTAAAAATCGAAAACATTTTACATTGCACACTTTGCAAGTGGACTACTATATGGTCTGTGAACGGTTTTATCTGAAAATAATTGAGTTGTGACTGTTTTTGATTTAGGGTGCGAAATGCAGATACTCATACACAATCTTAAAAAATGTTCATATAAATAAATAATTTCTAACTTTCGAAAGATATGCAGGAACGTATGCAATTGTCTTGTACATATTTTAAAGTTCTCATTTTTAAATTAATAAATACGTTAATGAAACTCGGCTTAGAAACTGTGCGAGAAGTTATTTGCTACTACTCGTACACAGTAACTTTTAGTATTACTCAATACACATTTTATTTGATTTAAAGAACATTTTAGAGTTAGTTCTCATAAAATTAATAGAAGTTAATGTGATCGAAGGAGACATTTCTAAATTCTTTCATACAGTTAATAAAACTGCTTTCACTTTCACTCTGCCAGTAACCGAATATTCGCACTTACCTCTAAATTGTGTTAGACTTTACCAAGGCATATGAAACAGGAAGTAGCTTTAGAAGAAAAACAACACTGACGAGTATTTTGTTGTTTCTCTGTTTCTCTAGTCTTTAAAATGTCAAAAAAAAAATTTTCGTAGTATATAAGTCATAAATGTATGTATGTACGTATTAAAAATATTGAAAAAATTTTATTTCAAAACATTAAATTTGTGCTATCTTCTTTATTGTAAATTGGTTTGCATCCTGATTTTCAAGGCTCAATAATCAACTTTTGTTCTTCTGAGTTAGGCGAACGTTCCAAACGCCAAAAATCCAGAATTTTTGTAAAAACAAATTTACTATGTATGTATGTATTTTTGAGAATTTATAGGCCAAATCATTTGCAAACAAAAAATCAGATCAGCTGCACTACTGCTACTACCTGCTCAATATGCCTTGGACTTCAAAAAGTCTGTTAAGATGATAACAATCCATTTGTAATGCACAATTCATGAATATCGCATTGTATTAAAAAATTTTAAAAATTTTTCAAACATAATTTTTAGCCACCATTAAATTTATCGAGTAATAAGTCTTTTTTTTTAATTTCATATTTTCAGTCAAATTTTATGTTATGCTGCACTAAGTTCACTAACTACATCACTCACCAGAGGAATGTATGTATTTGTAACAGTCTTAATATCATTTTTTCTTCTTATGAATATCCCCAAATGTATTTTTTTTTAAAGCTGCCGACAACCTTTCGGATGCGCCTCACGCTGAGGAATGAAATTTCAATTTGAATTGTACGCAATGCGAACAGAACAGATTCCTTTTCTTCTTCAGTGGAGCCTTATCACCACTGAATCGCTAAACAATTTGGGAGCGCGTCTTTGCGTTTCTTCTTCAACGGCTCCATCAATGCTGGAAACTGTGGCAGGGGTGATGACAGAAGTTTGCCACAGACTCCAAGGAAGCAATCAATGGAAAACTGCTACCGAGATGCGATTACTCGAAACACTAAACTCGAAAAAAATATATGCGTTTACATTTTTACAGCGAATTTCCATGCGCTCTCGCCGCGAAGAAAAATTAACTCTATATCACTTGACGCGAGTGCGATATGCAGACGAGTATGAATGCATGGACGGGACGGACCGGTAAATCAGTAAGGCAATCGCTACGATATTTTGCTCAGATGGGCGGATAATTGAGACGCGGCGCACCAGTCAGCCGCAACGCTCGACTGCTACTGTCCGCGGACGACTTTGCCAAGACCGCACCAAACAACAAAGCGTAAAAGTGCGAAGCAACTTGAAGAAGACGCCGACGCTAACACCGATATCAACGCCAACGCCTGTTTCGTCGTAAAAGAGCCACAATAGAAGTGGAAGGGAATCTAAGTGTATTTGCCACCCCCTCGTTACGCCATACTCAACTTTGGCAAGTGGTTCGAAGCGACTCACATAGGCGAGCGGACATGTTCTGCTGCTGAGTAGAGTTAAGAAGCAAGTGAAGTGCTGGACACGCGCACTGGCACATCTGCTCTCACGAAGGATACGCTCTTGCACTCCTTACAATACAACTACACTAACGCATTCCTCATAGGGTAATATGTAAGTTGAAGGTGCGAGTTTTTGCAAAAAAAAAAGCACCACTCTATAGCAATAACGTCCCCGAAGGGTATATTGCCCTAGAAAAAAGCGAGGCAAAAAATGAGAAAAAATGGTGGTGGAAAATATAAAAAAAAAATAGAAAATAAGTCATCCCCTCACTTTTCGCACGCACACATGCTCTAAAAAGCACACTCACATCCACACATATGTACATATGCTAGTAAACAATGAGGCGGATGACGAGCAAAAAAGCATGACGAATTTTTCCAAAGTTTTTATATTCCATCCATCAACACACGTATTCGCTTTCTGGCGCTCACACGCTTTGTGTCGATCCTGAAGGTATTGAAGTGCAGAAAAAAAAATACGAATAACTGGAGGATAACCCACCCTGTAAGTTTATATTCGCCTTCCGTTCGTAATTCACACTGATATTTTTTAGCAAAAGCAAAGTTAACTATTTGAGAAATACACCAAACTGCTGGTGATACTAAACTCTGTGGCTTCAGCTATGTAGTATGTAGTTATGTGCTTATACCTACAAAATGACAGTGTACTTATACATACACATGTATAAGGCTGTGAGTAAGAATAATTTGAATTATGGTCATATTTGCCCTATTTAAACACTTCCACTGATCGTGGATCAACAGGAAGACTGCGTAAAACTACACACTGTCGCCGTAAGCACCATTTCGATTTGCTATCTCTGGAACCTCTGATGTTGTCTGCTGTCACGATTCGTTGGTGTCTTAGCATCACTTCGATTTGTCGCTGAATCTGTATATGTTAGTAATGGAGTATTTAGATCCTCTTTAGATATTGCATGAATAATTTGCTTAATATATCATGTATTTTAATCGAGGCTACGGCTACGGTACCGATGGTTGTACGGGAGGCTCATCCTTGCTGCACGTTCACTAACGACCCATTGATCCGTGGTTATTAACACAACAATCTTCTCTCTATAGCAGTTTAGATAGAGCCGCCTCATCAAATGCTTCTGCCCCATACACCAGTACGTTCATTATGAGCAGTGTGACCAACCGTACTTCTTTCGGAAGTAGAGTACTTGTTTTTTACCTCTTTTACTTCGCAATTCGCAGTACAGTGATATGTGCTTCTGTGCAATATTTTGTACTTCAGGTCTTGTACATCTCCCATCGGTTCAGTAGTTTTGGAGTTTAGCGTAAATGAACAGGATTTTTATATATTAAGATAAGCACGTTGCGAGGAGCATTGAAAAAATGTCGTTCTCGTGTTGAAACCTCTCTTATCTTTTAAGTTGAAACCAACAAAACTCATCCACGAAATTTCATTGAAATCGGTTAAGTGGTTTCGGAGATTAGCGTAAACGAACACAGTGACGTGGAATTTTTATATATTAAGATGACAGAAACTCTTTACGACACAATCAAAGTTGATTGATTTTGCACGATCAATTAGATCAATATCTGAGGTAATTTCCGACAAAATTTAGACGCCAGTGATGAGCAATTTTGATATAAAATGCACTAGTATAAATTCGAATAGAAACAGTAATTGTATGCCTTTTAAAAATAATTCAAAAACTTTAATTAAGTTCGGTTTTTTTATCTTTTAAATTAATTAAAACATATAAATTATAAGGATAAATTAACATTTTTTGCTTTCCTTACCTTTTTCAAACGCATTTTTTGTAAACAAAATTTATGTTATCAGCCAGCACATGCAAACTTAAGAACAATGTTGGTGGAAGAAAAGCGTTTAGGCGATATTTTTTGGTTAATGGATATAGTTAATATGTGTTCATATTAAAATACATTATGTTTTTATAGTGAAAAATAAATAGTTAATTTGGGTCCGTTTTATGAAACGTATTTTGAATAACTAAAACAGAAATTTGCAAAATTGTAAAAACTGTAACTACTCGTATTACAAACTTGAGAGAAGCTTTGCTTTCGCTTAAGGTCATAATCAGTGTTGCCATTTGAGTACTTTCCAGCAAGATTTAGCTTTTTTCGCCGTTTAGCTAGAAAAATTCCAATTTAGCTGCTATCTTTTTTTTGCTTTTTTCTGAAAATCTTTAAGCCCTTTCTAGATTTTTCCAAATTTCGGAAAATCCAATTAAAAAATACGAATAAACCCGGCTCAATTAATCTTCACAAAGTTATAAGAGTATACTCGATTAAGAATGTCCACGATTTAGCTTTCTCTGATTCCATATATACACATTTGATATTGCCTTTGTTGCCTTTTTTGCCTTTTCTACCTTAAAGGCCAGTATGCAGCCCTCCAGAAAAGCAAAAACTCCATATAAAATGACGTACTAAAAAATTTTCTTGTGTCAAATTTCTTTAAGGCAGTACGCAGTTCTCAAAAAATTTGCTGGAGTATTTTGCTAAAGTTTTTTTGCGAAATAAGAGCACAAGGCAATCCATGTTTGCAAAAGAAATATATGCCCGTTTCATTATTTCTTGAAGAAAGAGTTATGGCAACAGGCTGTGAAGTATCAGATGTCAAAATTCCTTTTTTTACCGTTTCTTGAGAGCTGTATACTGGCCTTTCGTTGTAAAGGACAAGGAAAAGCCCCTATTTTTGATAATATGAAAGTTTTAAACGTTCCATATTTAAATTGGGCGCCACTTTTATCAACTCACGTCGATCGCACGTTTAGTACATTCAAGGCTTTTTGAACGAAAATCGAATGAAAAATGCTGCCAGAAAATTTTAAAATGCATCTCGTGGTTCAATGTTACTACAACTATAGAGATTAAAGTTTTGTTAGTTAAAAACTCGAGAGGAGAAAATAATCAAAGATTCAAAGTAGAAATTTTTCACATAATGAAACTAGTTCACAGTTTCTCTTTTTACTTGTAAAATAAACATTTCTAAAATAAGTGTATTTTTTGCTTCTTTTTCGGTTTTTGTCTTTCTTTAGTGTCTTCTTTTGTCTTTATTGCGATTTCTAGTGCCTTTTCCTGCCTATTTCGCTATTATTATTTTTCCTTTTTTTATAGGTTTTCAGGTCCTAAAAATCCGTTCCCTGTTCATCACTAATATACTTTTGGCACAGTTTTCTTTTGGCGGCGGGATTGTTGAATATTTGCAAAACTGCAGAAATATGGAAAGGTATAAAGGTATAAATTATCGAATTTATTAATTAACATTTATTATTTAATAGTTATTTCAAGAAAGCTGATATGCCCGCACCCCAAGGGAGTATTATCGAGGCAGACAACACAAGCTCAAGCAGCTCCACGGAAGAGCAGCCTCCGCCCAGAATTTTTTACAATTGAGCAATTGTCAAAAATCTGCATTTTAATTAAAAAGTTTTTTCTTGAAACTACCTTCTTTTCGGTATCATGCATATAGCCTTTAACTTGTTATGGGATGTAAGAAATCTGTACCTATTTTGCTGTATTTTTTTGTGAAAAAACGAATAAACATTTGCATACTTTTAACCTTTTTTAAGCCTTGACAATTTTTTATTCAACTGTTTTTAGCTTTTTTTTTGTCTATTTAGCTGGATCGATGAAAAAATTCTGGCAACACTGGTCATAATTTTTGACTAATTTTGACTAAATATGTTTAAATGTAATGACCAATACTTAACACTTACACTCATATCGATGTTCTAAATACATATATCTATACATTTGCTGTGCAGCAACCGAGCAAAATATGGGGAAAGCTTCAAGGCAAGAGGAATCTATGGTTGCACTGCTCCCCAATTCAGCGCAGATGAGTGCGATTCACGCGTCACCTCGCGCAGTGGCGCAGCAGGCACACATTCGCCCAATTTCCTTTGTACGGGGAGCTTCCTCAAACAGTTGCCATAAAAATTCTTATCAGAGCGCAGCCACACATTTTTTCATTTCTTTCGTTATAAAAATATCGAGCACCAACAGAGTCAGTACGAGCACCCACACTCATCAATTCAAGCTGGTCTAGGCGGGAAGGTGCACCAGCTTTAGATCATTACTGACTGTCGCTTGAAGGTATCTACATATATATCTACATATATACATATCTACATACATGTGTGTGCTGTGTGCTGTAGCAGAAGCTGTGGTAAGTATCTTCTGGGTTTTGCAACAAGGTACGCCAGTGTCACCTCAAACGAGAATGATATTGAACACCAGCTCGTCAAAGCACCGGAGATTTATAATTTAATGTATACATACATACTTGCATATGTACAACCGTGAAAATATTTATGTCGAAGTACGATTTGCGGTTTTTTTTTTTTGTGTTGCTACCCACTTCTTGTTTATCTACTCTAATTTTTTGTCGCACTTTTTCTCCACCGCTGCGTTTTAATTTTTCTTCTTGCCAATGACTGCTGATGAATGATAGATGGATTATCATTTTGTTTGGCGTAAATTGAATTTGAATTTTCTACCGATGATCAAAATGTATTATTCAAGAAGCGACATGTTGTTGTAACGGCTTGAGTAGTCTAGGGCAACATCCTGAATATTTCTGTGTAAGGGGCTTTAAGTCTTTAAGAAAATATATGTATGTACATACATACATAAGTTCATAGTACATATGCACAGATATTGAAGACAACAATAAATATTAAGAGCATTTGCAAAAAAAAAATAATAATAAGCTTTGCAAAAAGGAAGCGAAATAAAGAAATTTGCAAGACTGAAGCTGGCTGGCAGCCTCTCAGCCGTGCATTGACAAACTATGCGTTACCAATTTGCTTGCAGGAAAGTCTAAAAAATTGCATTAACAAACAAAGTCGATATGTGGAGGCCAAAATGCGCAACAACAAACTTGAAAGCAAAACTGCAAACACTAATAACAAATCCTTCAATAATTCCGGTTGGCTTGCGCCGCTCTTATGCCTTGTACAACTCGGAAATTCATGCAACATAGTTGAGTAGTTGGCATTTGTTGTTGCAGTGGTGCAAGTGGTGGTTGTTGTTGTTGTTGTCGGAGCCATTGTCGAGATGAAGAACATGCTTTCATGCATCAACTGTAGCTCGAATTCAAAAGGATAATCAAAAATTCGCGATTTTTTTCCATTTTATTTCTCATTTTCCTCCGTTTTCTTTCCGGTTTTCTCTTTCCTTTCGACCATGTCTACATTTGTTTTTTTTTGTTTGTTTTTTATACATTCTTCAACAACACCAACAACACTATTAAGCCGAATATGGCTGCTTCAATGACTTACTGACTTGTACAATACTGTTATTGTTGCTGTTGTAGTTTTTGTAGTTTTTGCAAGCCAATGATTTTTTTCTATTTTTCCTTGTTTGGCCTCGTTCGCTGCCGCTTTTCACCCTCACATTCACACATACATACATGCCGCACATACATAACTCAATAACGTGCGAACGCTACTGCGGTATGCAGGGGCAGCGGCGAAAAGGACTTTCTGGCGTCCACCCGAGCATGCAACCATAATGCATCCATGTTTGCAAGTAGCAGCCAGCCAGCCAGCCAACAGCCAAGTAGTAAAGCTCACATAACAATCACAGCCTGCAAAGGTTTGTAGAAGTAAGAAGCAGAAGAAAATGTCTAATGAAACTATATATTATTGTGCCTGCATGTATATACATACATACATACATATATAGGAATGTTCAGTATTTATACATATTTATGTACACCCATATGTGGGTTTTAGTACCAATACGCATGCATATAATACTTCAACAAAACAAGCATACGCTTTGAATGCAACTTATGTACATACATACACCCAAAATACATTCATAAATACATAAACATATGTTTATATGTATTGCATGTTGCATATCACCAAGGACCTTTAGTAGTAGGTTCGCATGCAACAAATTACCCAAGCAGTAGACTCGCCTGAGATGAAATTGAAGCACCGAAAACTTTACATTATAGTACATGCATAGAAGAAGCAAGGAAATGCTGAACTCAAGTGACAACAACAACAACTGCCAAGTAAGTTCATATGTAGTAACGTATGCAGTGCAATTATGAAATTCCTGCCACATCCTTTTAGTTAACTTACATTTTGAATATGCACATCAATTTTATTTGAATTTTATGCATTCTTCTTGAACCGAGTGCGCACAATTTTTATTGTACGTAGAATTTTATTTAGTTTACATTAAGGAGGTGGCCACAATTTGTATGTAAATGAAAAATTAAATTTTATGTGGGATAGAAATACTGTACCGCATGAATAAAAATTAATAGTGTTCTCATTTCTACCGTAAAATGTTACCATCTCATTGCCCTGTACGTACAAATACTAAGAAGATGGCAATGAGAAGGCAACATTTTTTGCAGAAACGAAAGCACCCTAAGCAATTGCTTTTTCTTAAAATTTCAGACCTTTTATTACAATTTATTTAAAAAAAAAATCGAAACCGGAAGTCGGTAATACCATCAGAAAATAGAGGATACCTAATTTGGTATGTCATATTTTGGTGTTTTTCAATAAAAAGCATTTCCCTCCATTTTAGAGGGGGTGAGCGGCTAGACTACAGACCCTACACATACATATAAAGGAGTAGTTCATTCTATAAAAAGCTACTGCCACGACAATTTAACTAAAATCATGAACTATTATGTTATGAATAAGTTTGAAATGAAAATTAATTCACAATTTTTTTGGCGATTCTTATCACCAATAGAATAGAACAAGTTTGTGACGTCAATTGAACAAAGTCAAATAAAAAACGTTTTAATATCTACCACGTTTCTATAAATATACAAAAAGCAGAAAATAATTTTTCCTAGACGCACAGAATTTGTGCCTCGATAAGTTTTGATTTTAAAATTTTATCAAAAATCATTAAAACAATTTATGAAATTTAAAATGTAAAGCCTTTGGGAACATGCAATATCTGCTTTGTTTATACACGGAGATGTAATGATAAGAGAAGACAAAAATATGCAAATGCATATCGAATATGCAAATGCATATTATTACACAAAAGACATATTTTGCTGAAAAGCATAAAAATGATTATTTTGGTAATAACCATAATACCTATACCTTTGCGCAGATAGCCAGGGTTTCTGTTGAAGTTTTTTAAATTGATAAAAAAGAGGAAGCTGACAAACAACGAAAGGTTCAGTTATTTGTAAATTTTAATATATCGCACACCGTCTTCAAAAGAGTCACAACTCAAAATTTGGCATTTTTGAAATTATACACTAAAAATGTACACAGAGCTTTTATTTACCTTTCAGCAAAAGCTGGAGCAAATTTTTATTTATACTTTGTTAAAAAACCTAAGGTAAAGTTGCCCTTGCCCATATGATTAGCATGTGCTACGAAATAGTTTTTCGCATTTTCTGACGAACGTATTATTTTGAGTTGTGACTCTTTTGAAGACGGTGTGCGATATGTACTCGTAAAAATATTTCGAGTGTTGTTTTCCAATGGTGAAGTTTAGTGCTAAATCGATTTTGGGGGTTGAAAAATTCAATGAAAATTTAACAAAAGAGAATAATCTTTGCGTTCGTTTTTAGCGAAAGCTGTTCAACAGTTTCCAGGAGTGTTGCGAACTTGTTATGCGATAAACGAAAAAATTTTCGTTGGAAAATATACATTGTATAGTAGGTTTTGGGGCATATATAAAGCATATTTTTAATATTTCGGAGTCATTTTACTGATCATATAATTAATATTTTTGTGCATATTGATAATTATAATGATAATCATAATCATAATGATAATAAACAAATAAGAGAGTAGGTGGCGCGAATATATTAAACAATACCCGGCGCGCTTCACTGCGCCTTAAACATATTTTTTTGCTGTTTGATACCCGTATAGTAATATTTCATTTACTTTATCAATTTAATTGAATACAATTTCTCGAACAGGTGGCAACCCTCAAAAATGTTTTCGGCAGTAAACTTTCCTAAACTTCTTCATTTTGATACCCATAATGCACTATTCAATTTATCTTATCAATTAAATTAAATTAAAATTTTCCAACAGATGGCAATCTTAGGCAAACATATTTTCGGCTGTAAGCCTTCTTGAGCCTCTTTCTTTTGACAGCCATTTTGCAATATTCACTTTGTCTTATCAATATACTTAAGCTGCAATTTTCAAACAGATGGCAACTCTTTAATTTTTGTATCAGATCGTGCTGCGACAACAGTACAAGACAATCGACACCTTCCTTACCCTTTCCTCAATGTTAGGCTTCCACGACAGCCACCGTTGATCGCCCACCTAGTTACCTGGTTCAGGTAACCTTGAGCCAGATCAAAAAGGGTGTCTAGAAATCGTTCCACATCATCTACTTAGGTGATCGCCCGACAATCCACTTTTTTTAGTTTCTCTAGAAGGTCGTTTACAACCGCAATCCAGAGCAGGGGAGAGAGAACACCACCTT